ATGTACTCACGGATGATAACACAAATCAATTTTCATATTCCAAAATAGAGAAACGGGTCCAGATCAAAATTCGTGCCAAAGTCTTCCACAACTCAATTTTTTCCAACAATTGTTACCAACCTAGTAAGAGTCAATGAACCATATAGATTCTACACTACTTTTCAGGTGAAGAGTGAATACATCGCATCAAGGGTAGTTAATTTCTTCTTTTTACTATCACGTGCGATCCTTACCTTAGGATGGACAAATTTGTTATTGTCTTTAATAAGTTTGTGGTCTCACTAACACCCTTCAAAGTTGTACTTTACTATTTTGCTTGAAGTTGACAGTCACGTACTCTTTAGTTGAGGTCAAGATTATAACGTATTGTTCAAAGTAATATTACATGTTAGTACGTAGTTGAATAGTTCGAAAACATGTTAAAATAAGATTTCAAAATAAGTGGTTGCAATTTATGATGAAAAGATAGTCCTTTTTACTTCCTAATGCTTCTCAATCTAGAGCTTGTCACTACATTGGAGAGTTGATTTAGGAAGCAACATGTAATGTTGTTACTATTGTAATTTGTCTCGATCAGATAACTAATTTGATAGATATCACTTCACTTGCGCATTTAAGTTCTATGTGTTAAATTTGACAATTGAATTCTTTAGCGAAGGGCCTCCTTGAGGCAAAGGTGAGGCTCAAAGGCACTCCACCAAGATTCTTGAGGGAGCCCACCCATATTGTTCTTTATGTGGCGAATTTGAGACTCGTCGAAGTGGGAGTTTCCATCCTTAGTTTGCAGAATAAGCAAACGACTAACCTCTCCTATCTCAAGAAAAGTATCTCTCTCTCCTCTAACATTACGACAACGATTAGCAGTCTTAAATAGGACAAAAATCTCTTTATAATATCATACTTCACTGCAAACCTTTCCCAATTAAAAAAGTACAAGGAATAATCACACATTGTTGATGTGTTACTACATAGAAGGAATTTCTTTTGGGCCACAAACTATAATTTCTAGACAGAAGTATTGGTGGCATATGTCCTAATTATTAATGGACCCTCTAACAAAATCAAATTTCTCCTTTTACCCAACTACTTTAACCCCCCCCTTTAATTGTTTTTCAGATATGTAATAACACTTAAATATGCACAATCTTAGACCACTTGTTTCTCTAGTGGTTCATCAAGATAAACCTTGCAATGCACTATATAAGGGATGTGCATGGTTGGATTAAGTTCGATTTCTATGAGAATTGGACTAAAAGAGATACGAATGACATTGTACACATGGAATCAAATGATTTCATGTGTAGTGATGGAAGCTTACAAGATAGGAATTGGGTAAAATTATATCAATTTGGTTCTATTTTATGCTTCATAAAAAAAAAATCGACAAAACGTAAAATATCATGTAAAATTTATAATTTCATTTCTCACAAGTTTGTTAGAAGAAAAGAAAGAATTTCTTTAATTTTATAGTCAAAAGTTAGAACTTGAGTACCGGCCTATATAATATCAAACTCAACAAGTTCAAATAAGCAATTTTGCTTTGTCTAAAGTTTAAACAAATTGACTCACAAATTCAAGATTAGTGTTCTTAAACGAGCATTCATCTTGCAAAAAGGATAAATTCTGTTTGGGCTCCATTAAAATTTGATATTGGAGGAAAATGTATTTGAAATAATAATTTTTCGAAGAATGTATAGCTAAAATATAAAAAAAGTTTTGAGTTTACGTATAATATTATTTTGTTAAAGAATGTATGATTGAATATAAGAAATAGATAAATACATTTTTTTTCCAATAGGAACCCAAATAGAGGCATAATAAATAACTAATAGGATGGTTTTTAACATCGACTATGCAATTTTAATGAAAATTTTGAACTAACATGGTCCTCTTCAAAGGTTGAGGACCACCGTGGTATAAAGCAATATACTTGGGATCCAATTTTTAATTAAATGCAAGTAATTCATCAAAATGGGGTCCTAACCTCTGTATTTTTATTTTTTCAATTTGAAAAGAATTTTTTTGAATGGAAATCAGAAAAAAAATAAAATAAAATAAAATAATCGAGAGGACATATTGCCCGACAAAAAGGGTTTCGAGATTCGAGAATACGTGAAATTGTTGCTGTAAGAAAAACAAACATAAAACATCCACTGTTGAGAGATATACAGAGCGAATTGCGTTCACCATTTTGTGGGTGGAGTTTGGAGGTCTTGTCATGCCCAGATCGGGATTGATTTGCAAGAATTAATTATTAGTATGTTAAAATTACGCATTTTTTTGTCTATCTTTTACTTCATGCAATGTCTTATTTTGTTGGGTTCGATCTGCATGTTGCTCAGTTTTCTCTTCTTCGGTCTCTCTCTCTCTCTCTCTCTCCCTCCCTCATTTCCCTCAGAAAAAAGAATACAAGTCCATAAAGAAATGTACACTTAATTTGTGGGTTTTGTTTTACCTGTTGGGATTGTTTCTTATAAATTTTGCATGTAAAGGTAGAAATTGTGCTATTGTGAATGATAATGTGTGCGTTTTGTAAGAAAAGATTGAGCAATTGAAATGGGCTTCTAAGCTTTCCTTTTGATTCCAGCTTCAGATTGTTTTTATCTGTGAATCTGTGATTATGGTACGAGGATTGATTTGAGTTTATGTTTTTTGATGTTTTTCAAGAAAATTTCATGTGATAATGATGTGGGAAAATGTATTTCTGTCTGGATTTATTTTATGGTACTTTCATTTTCATCTGGCAGTTTTTATTGCTTTCTGTGTACTTGGATTACTTCTTTTCTTCTGTGATAATTTTTCTTTTTGATAAAATTCAAGGTTAAAATGCACTAATTCTGCTTTAAATTAATACGAGGTATTACCATTGTGGTCCTGCATATAAAGAAGGGATTTCTCCCATGAAATTGAACTGTTCCTAATGGTGCGTGCGTGTTTCATAAGGAAAACATTTATGGTTAGCAGAAATGTAAGATTTGGAAGGGAGTATTAGAACACTTCTAAAGCTCGATATATGTTTGTTTACCTCTAAATATGCGTGATTTGGATGTCATGACAAGTTAATGTATTCTTTTTAAATATTAAATGATTCAATTTGATGAGATTAACCCGTCCTGGATTGTGTTTCCTCTTTCCCTGTTGTTTTTCCCTTTTTATTAGTGAATAGGGCTGGGGGTTGCTTTGAAAGATCAAATGACCAGTATCATTTGATCAATATAGGGCATACACTTGGCGAATTATCTATCGCATATTTTGCTTGGGAAATGGTGTTAGCATAGCTTACATTGATGGAGCCCATTCTTATGTTTCACAAGTAATAACAAAGGAGTTGAGCTTTTGCTCAAATACTGCAAATTGAATATAGAGCTTTTTGTATTAGATATCATTCAATGTATTCTTTAGTTCAAAATTCACAAGTTTCATAAATTTTTTCTGTCATGTTCACATTAAGATGCCTGAGTGGTTCCCTCTTTCATTAATTAGTTGCTTCAAGGCTGTGAAAGTAAGAAGGTTTGAGAAATCTTATATTTTTGTGGGTACTGGATCTCTTACAGTGGTGTAAAACAACACCGAGTGCTACTTTCTGATTTAAAAATATTTTTTTTACGCTGCAGGCAGATGGGGAGGGATGTTGCAGGCTTGCACGTTGACAGGAACTCTAAAATTGTCAATATGAAACCCAACAGTATCTTTCATGGCACAGTTCATGTTGCTCCCAAAATTGCATCGGAAAAAGTTGAAACAAAGGATCGTGAGCTGGAGGATCATGCTGAAAATTGCAAAGTTGCTGAAGGAATTAACGGGGAGCAAGATGTGCTAGAAGTCAAAGGCACCAACCATGAGCCTGAGCAGAAAAGTCTGAAGGCTGAGGTTCAGAAGTCGAGTAATGAAAAGTTAGGTTCCTTGGTCAAGCCTGAGTCTGCATCTGCTGTTGATTGGTCAATCAAGACGGATTCCTCTGAGCCACTTACACCAGGTGTTGAGGATGAGAAACTAACATCATATGAAAGCCATGCTAATGGGACTGATACCATTGATTCCAGTGAAAAATGTTCACCAAAATCAAATGATGCAAGTTTTGCCAAGACCGTAGGAAAATCACAGGTAAGGAGACCATGAGAGATTTATGCTGAATAAGGTTGTGTTTAGTTGTAAATCATGCTATGACAGATAAAAATAGTTGTTATGCAATCTAGTGTTTACATTGGCATCCATTATTTTTGTTGCAGATAAAATCTTATTCTGTATCAAGGAACCTGCCACAACCTAATGAAAATAAATATCAGTATGAAGATGATAATTGGTCCTTGGCTTCCTCATATCCTGCTGAATTCAGAATTTTGTTTTTTTTCTTCATATTTGACATTTCCTTTTTATTTCTTGAACGAGTTTGTAGTTTCCACGTTCTTGAAATTGGACTGTCCTTAGCGCTTGTGTTACTGCAGCGTCTGTACGAACAGTTAAATCCAGAGTTACAGTTCCAGTGACTCCATCATTTAGATGCATGGATCGTGCAGAGAGACGTAAGGAGGTAGTCTTTAGATTAAATGCTGAATATACATGTTCTAGATTGTTCTACAAAAGATATAATTCTCTCTGTCTTTTCCCTTCTTTTAGCACATTATTTTCTTATTCTTGGCTTTGTCTTCCATTTTTAGTTTTACACGAAGTTAGAGGAAAAAAACAAAGCTTTGGAGCAAGAAAAACTTGAATACGCAGCTAGAACCAAGGTGCACCTTCCTCATATGGCATTTACTCCCTCTACCAATGCTGACAAGATCTGCCTCACTTCTTACTCTGTCTCCATGTCCAAATATTGAATATATTTAACATATCTTTTTCTTATTGATCCTATTTATAGGAAGAAGAAGCTGCTGCTATAAAGCAGCTTAGAAAGAGCATGACTTATAAAGCGAATCCAGTTCCGAATTTTTACCGTGAAGGGTCACCTCCTGTGAAGGTTGAACTTAAAAAGGTACAACTTTTGTCTTTCCTGTATGGCTCGATATTGGCATACACTTTGTGCTCGAATAAACACTTAGTTTTTAGTGCATAACACTAGCAGAATCTTCTGCAAACTGTTCAATCTCCTACTAAGAGATGTACTCTTTAGCTTGATAACATTGAAATGCTTTTCATTGTTATACCGATTCTCTTTAAATTTTGATATGATTAGTTTTTCATGGGTACTAATGCTCTGATGCCAGGTTGAAGAGTATAAAGAGAAGACAAGATAATCTAAGTAGAAATATCAAATGAATATAGTTGTCACCATCCAAAGGAATCTAACACGGGAACCCACCAAAGAGATACAAATTTAATAGGCAATTCCAAAGCAATGCTTTCTATTATTTGAGGATCAAATTTAAAATATTAAAAACAAATGAAAGAACCATTACATGCATGTGTATTACAATTTACTAGAACACTGAAACATTGAATGAACTCTTCTTTTAAAAAAAAACAGAGAGAGAAAGTATTACCATTCCAAAGAGACTAGCTAGCACAATCTTTAGGGTTGAAAGCACCCTCTACTTTCTGTAGGGCAGCCCAAATTCAGATTCGTAAAATTAGTGGGATTTCTCACTCATTATCTTCCAGTGACATATTCTTTGCCTAGTAAATGTGTGTGCATTAATTCTATGAATTAGTGAGAGTAACTCAAAATTCTGCACCTTGGAAAGTTAAAACACTAAGGGCCTGCTTTGAGTGGTTTTAGTAACAGTTTATAAAACCATTTAACCCATGTTTGAAAGTTTATTATTCATCGGTTCTGAAAGTTTTTTAAAAGAATAAAATTACGTATATATCCCTTATTAAAATTTTCTTTTATGTGAATTTTTTTTACTCATAAGTGATATTTTAGTATTTTACTTAATAGAGAATTTTTTTTTACATATAAGTTATTATTTAAATTAAAAAATTAATTAAAATTTTAAGTTAATAATTTTTACTTATAATAAATTTTGCAATTATAAGTTAATTTTCTACTTTTAAATAACTTTAAGTGAATTTTTTTACTTACAAGTAATTTTTTATATATATATTTTTATAAGTGAATTTTGTCTTATTAGTAGATTTTTATTTTATAACAATATTTTTTTACATAAAAGTGATTTTTTATTTATAAGTAATTTTTAATTATAATGTAATTTTTCTTACCTTATAAGTAATATTTTACTTATTTAAGTATTTTTTAATTATAATATAATTTTTTAAATGAGAAATAATTTTTTAGTTAATATATTTGTATTTACAATTTAGTTTTGAACAAAATATATTGGTTGAAAATAATTATTTTATAAAGGGTAAAATTAAAANAATTATTTTATAAATGGTAAAATTAAAAGAGAACGTGAAAAACGGCCAAAACCTGCCAATGTGGTAGGATGAGAGAACAACTCAAAATTATACTACACCGATTTTGGGTGGTTTTTAAATCATCCATAACCAGTGCTCAAAAAATTAGCAAGCACTGATTTTTCCATCTTATGAACGGTGCCAACCAAAACCGGTGAAAAAAAATACTCCCAAAAGCCCCATGGGAGAAATTGGAATGAATAACGGTCTTTTATCATGGTCCTACTACTACTCCTTTCACGACATCTGCTCTTACTCCAACTTTTGAATTGCTTTGCATTGTTATACCAATTCAGTTGAATGCCGCAGTTACCTGTACAAAACCATCAATTCTAACCTGAAATGAATTGTCATGCAGTAATGCTGCTACCACAACTGCTGCTGCTACAATACTATGCTTGCTGTATACAATTAATTTACTTAGTTTTGGTTGAATGGCAGCTGCCAGTGACACGTGCTAAATCACCAAATCTATCACGGAGAAAGAGCTGTGGTGATGTAGTCAAATCAACGCCAGAAGAAAGAATTCGTGCTGGTGCACCGCGTCACAGCATAGGCGTTTGCAAAGAAGGCAATAACACTCCCAAAAGTCGCAGCAGTGTACGCTGCAACGTTAATGGAACTAGAGAAGTTACCAATCGTCCTCAACAGTTGAAAAAACCTACAGAAAAGTCTCGTTTGATGTCAGAACAGAAAACTGCAGATTTTGCTGTTAAGGAGTCGTGAAGAATTTAGTCTTCCCGAGTTTAAGTTTGCCTTTTAACAAGGCAAACTTCCTACTTCTCTTATCGACGATCAAAAAGTTATGGCCAGGTAAAAGGGTTTCTTTCTTTCTCGCCCATGTTGTCTAATGCTGGCTTGTAAATTTTCTATAATGTATTAAGTCGCTTGATTTGTAATCTTTTTGTATAACTGAATTTCTAGTAGTGGTAACTTGTAACGAGAAGTCTGTTTCTAAGGGATAGTCCAGTTGCTGCTTTCTATTTGGGACTGAAAATTGAACCAAACTGCTTGAAGCTTGGGTTCGATTGATTATTAGATGTTTGGCTATGCTTAAAAGTGGGTTCTGTAGCTGTTTCTTTCAGCTTCATAAAAATTTGTCAGCAATACATATGCTTTCATTCTCAAAATCTTACTTTTACTCTCACCTTCTTTGTCTAAACCTAATGAATTTCCACAAGAACGACCCCCATATATATTATCAAATATCATGATACAAGCCCCCGGGGGCACATCCGAGTTGGTGGAACAATTGCATTTGTGGGCTTTCAACTCCAGCGTGGAGAGTTCGATTCCTGGAAGGTACGAGTCTTGGAAGGGGGATTTTCTCAAAGGCAATACAATGACTGGAAGGCAATAAGGAGAGTTCTCTTGGGGCCAGGAGTATAAGCGGTGCAGGAACCTGGGAGTCAACAAGGGCATAACCTGCGATTTACCTCCTCGAGTCGCTGAGGGGCCAGTGGCTAGAGATCCAGGATTTAGTAGTCTAAGATGGAATATCTGGGTATCAAAATATATATATATATATATATACAACTCTTATCTTCTTTGCTTGTGTTAGGATAATTATCTCATCTGAAAATAATTGGTATCACGTGAGTTCAAATGAAAATTTTATGATATTTGATCACCATTATTGGAGTGACGCTAGTCGTGGACTTGAGAACGATCTTGTTACACCCCAATCGCTTTCATGGGAGTTGCTTTAAGTGCACGCTCACGACTCAATCAAGGAATCGTTTAGACCAAGTTTCGAAACAAAAAATCGAGAAGTAGAGGGTATATCTGTAATTGTCTAAAACATTAGGGGATGCTGGTGTAATTTGACAAAAATGGTAAGCTGTATTGCTACTACAATTTTCTTTTGTTCCATCACCCTTTTTAATTATATTAAGGTCTTCGATCTTTACTTATTATTGCATTATGTCCCACTTTTGTATTTGTATTTGTATTTGTATTTTTTTTTTTGTGCTTATATAAAAATATGAGAAAGTGATTTTACACAACTGGCTTTTTGGATGGAAACCAACATGTACAATACGAGCTAATTAATGGAATTATTATTTTTATTTATTAAACCATTATTGGTGCTTGCTTTGTTACGGGATAACTTCATAAACGCCTTATTAATGTCCAAAAAACCTAAAAACACCTCCTTTTACAATTTCTTACAAATACCTTTTTTTTTCATTAAAAAAATCAATATTTTATATTTACCTTAAAATATAAGTTTATATTTTCATTTAATATCAATTTATCACTAAATACCAACATTTTTTACGAATTATAGAGTAACATATTTGTTAATGTGTAACTCATAAAAACACTAAAACATTTTTCAATTTTTTTATTGAAAAATATATTTGGTGTAATATAAATGTTACTTTTTATATTAAAAGTCAAAGTTTTACATGGATAACACGTTATGCTACAAATGGCCTTGGACATTGACAAGAACCTCGGTGCGAACTCAAACAAATCCCCCTTGATGTTGATGCACTATGCCCTTGCGTGAACGTGTCACAAACTTTGAAAATGAGACTTTAATTGTAAATTTCAATATATAGTCCATGTTTGAGCCACATTATATTTTTCATTATCATTCGTCTACTCATTTTCAACCACACATTTTTCAATAAAATAATATTTTTCATCATATCAATAATTTTTCTTTTTTTTCGATCACATATTTCTCATCACATCAACAAAAAAAATGCATTCTCTCCGCAAAAATACCTACCAAACAGAGACATAGATGAAGAATGCCAACTTGCGAAATGACTAAAATGCATAGATTGAAAGAATATCTATGGTCGAATGTCTCCGATCGCCAAACATTTCTAACTAAAAGAACGTCAAAATATCAATCTCTTTCTACTTCATAAATTGACTTAAAAAATACAAAAATCCCTAAAGGATGGAAAGCTTGTCGAAATTGAGAGAAAATTGTAAATACTATCCATTTTTTGAGGTGAACAATGGGTTTGGAAGATAAAAGGTAAGAAGTCCTCTATGTGTTTTATTTTACAAAAAGTAAATATTGGGGGCAGATTGCTCTAAAAATAAAGGTAAATATTAATGACTAGGTAGGTTAAGCCGTGAGGATTAAAATCTAAATTTTAATCAAAACTAAAGTTAAGAATTAATTTTATCCACTTACTTCATAGGATTTACAACTTTTTAAGTACACATTTCATCTTTTTTTAAAAAATAAAAAATCTGCTAAAAAACTTATTTTATCCTCACCAAGCATGTCTTAAAATTAAAAAGTAGGGTATATTTAGCCCCCATTTTGTACACATCTTTTAAAATTTATTTTTTCCAAACCTCATTTTAAATTACATATTTTTCAATAAAATATTTTTGCACTTGGATTCAAAACTTTTATCTACTTTTTTAATCATATTCTTTAAAAATTACTTTTTACAAAATTTATTCTAAAAAAATACCATCAAATAGGCCTTTTTTTTTTATTTTTTATCAAAAGGTGGGTAAATGGTCCAATTTTTCTTTTATTAACAATAGAGCAGAACATAATACAATAGAAGTAGAACTTTCCCAATTCAAAAACAAGATATACAGTTAAAGCTTAAAAACTACATTACGTGCGCCCTAATTATATTTCTCAGAACTATGATATGAGTACAGGAAAATTTCACAGAATACACACAGAAATTTGAAATGGTTGGACTGGATTCAAACATGGAGGAGGGAAAATACAGATAGACGCACAAGATGATTCCAATTCATAATTCTGTACAAAATCTGGCAAAATTTCCTGTACTAAGGAATTATTCTACTTGTCATAGTCGTACCCTGGGTGTAATATCTTTCAGATTGATTGTGGCGGAGGGAGGTGGGGGGATAATGAGGTCCCTAAACCCCCACTCAAATTTAATTTTTAATTTTAATATCATTATATATTGTACTTGAAAATATTATCGTAATTAAATTAAATTAGACCTCCACTAGTTCTGAGTTCTTGCACCGTCACTCTCTCGTAATCATTTTCAGGCTCACTGCTTAATGGAGATTGTACATTTATTATCGAATTACAAATTTGCAAAATCCATAATTTCATCATTCTTGAATGTACGAAAAGTAACACGACAATTTCAACAAAAAAAATATATTAAAACATAAGTGAGACAATAAACAATTTTGAATACCTTTAATGCAACTAAAAAGCTATAATGGAATAAAACAAAAATTGTGATGACAATATCATAAAAGAAGTTTAGGACGAGAAACAACCAACCACAAACCATGCACAGCGTGTGCCTGCGCAAAGGTTAATTACTCTTAAGTGATAAAATCTCACATTGAATAAAAATGAAAATATAGATCAATTTATAAGAGTTTGGACTACTCCTCTTAATAATGTTGTCATTTTATGATGGAACCCTCATTCTTAATATGGTATCAGAGCCCGTTAAACTTCAACGAGCGATTCGATTCGATTAAGACTCAAAAAAATTGAGCACACGAATTTCAAAATTGGTCTGCTCATACGAGCCACCATTTTGTGGGGACATGTTAATGGATAAAATTCCACTTCGAATAAAGATGAAAGCATAGATCAATTTATAAGAGTTTGTGGTACTCTTTTAACAAGATTGACATTTTAAGATGAAACCCCAATTCTTAACAATTATCAACTAAAGAGCCATCAGTTGCCAAAATTAACGTTGTAAATTAGCTGCAGAACAGTTGGAAATTAACGGTACTTTCTGGAGAGAGGACCCCCGCATTCCATGGCAATATTCCCCATGCAATTCTCCCATTAAAGCCCTTAACGAGCCTCAACCGCAAGCACGAGAACCTCAACAAAAATCCTCTCCCCATTCGAACGTTAAAATCTTCTTTTAACCGCCGCGCCGCTCCTCCTCCACCACCCTCCGGGGCTTGCCGAGGTGGTCGTATCCTGATCCGCCGCGGCAGCCAAAAAACACAGCTTATATACAATTTTGTTGAAGGAGATGGAAGAGTCAATTCATGAAGAGTTAATAATGTCATCGTCTTCTTCCTCTTCCTCGCCTTCCTCTTCCTTCGAGTCGGAAATGGAGGAGCTCCGACGGTTAGAAAATGCTCCACCGTTCTGGAAGAATCCTAAGGCAAAGAGATTATCAAAGCAGCTCTCCATGTTAGAAACTCCTCGTGATATTGCATGGGAGAAGCGGCGCCGTCAGATTTTCATGCAAGAGCGGAAGAAAAACGGTATAAACGACTCTGGAGACTTGACAGACGAGGATTTGAGCGAGCTAAAAGGGTGCATAGAACTCGGGTTCGGGTTCAATGAAGAACAAGGACAAAAGCTGTGCAACACATTGCCTGCCCTTGACCTTTATTTTGCGGTGAACCGCAATTTTTCAATGAGCCCGATATCGAGTCCAAACAGTACCGAGTCTGCACCCGCTCTTGGCGGCCGGTCTACGTCGTTTGGGAGCGACTCCGCTGATTCATGGAAGATTTGCAGTCCTGGTTAGACCCCATAGCAAATTCTTTAACATAACGTTTCTTGCCTTACTCTTTTTCCATTTTCTTTTATTTATTTATTTTTGCAAACAAGTTTCATTGGAACAAAAAGGAGAAATGCGTTAGGACACGGCATGTGAAAATGTTATTTTTAAAAATTTAGGACACATGCTAGAGAAAAATTGCATAAAACTTTCAATATTAAATCTCAGATTAAACCCCTTATAATCTTCAGTTGAATTTAGATTAAATCATGCAAATAAGTTAATTTTTAGCTCAATCCTTCATTTATTTATCCCATATTTGATCATCATTATTTTCAAAATACATTTTTTTCTCTGTTCGTCTTAACTACACATTTTTCAATAACATAATATTACACGTAAACCCAAAACTTTTTTTAACCACACATTCTCTATCAATCTACTATTTTAAAATGCATGCTTACAATAAATGAGACTCAAACAAGTCCTTAATCTTTATTTATTAGTAAAAGTCCGCAAGATATTTGTATTTTTCTCTTCAAATTGTTTTTCACAACAAATTTTCTGTTGGATTTCAAGTGTGTATGACAAATTCTGGTGGCTAGATATTCTTACCAGTAAACAATGGTTCAACGAGTTTGCAGGCGATGATCCTCAACATGTGAAGACAAAGTTAAGGCATTGGGCACAAGCAGTGGCATGTTCGGTGAGGCAATCCTCTTGAAGCATATCGAGGTTGTACGAAACTGAGAATCGAAAAATCGATGTGACAAAACGAGATTGTTCTTGTTTAGGTTCCCTTTCGTATATATGTATTTTAGAGTTTTCTTAATTAGAGGACTTGGCACACAAAAGTCTTGAACTTTGCAAAATCCAAGTCCAAAGAGGAGATTCGGAATAAGTTTTGGTTAATCTCAAAACTTATGTAGAAGATCTTTAGAAATTTTTTTAGATTTTCACCTTCTTCTTATTTTTAAATTTTTTTTTTTTAAACAAATGTATGTTGACATCTTTATAATATTCTTGCATTTTGGTTTTGCATGATTGCTTTTATAATTTTACAATTGTCCATGTTTGTGTTAAGGGATAGAATCTCACATCGAATAAAGATGTAAACATAAACCAACTTATAAAGGATCGAGTTACTCCTCTTAATAATGTTGATCTTTTAAGATAGAACTCAAAATCTTAACATGGTATCAGAGCCACGTTAAACTCTAACGAGCAATTCTCTCATTAAGACTTCAAAAGTGAGCATACGGATTTCAAGATTTATCTACTCAAACGAGCCACCATCTTGCGAGGACATGTTAAGAGATAGAATCCCACATTAAATAAAGATGTAAACATAAATCAACTTATAAAAGATTGTGTTACTCCTCTTAATAATGTTGATCTTTTAAGATAGAACTCCAAATCTTAACAGTTTGATTCTCATTTATTTTTAATTTATAGTTTCTAACATGATAAGAGTGGTTTATTTTGTTATTCACAAACCATCAATGTCTTCAAAGCACTTTTCCAACTTCTAAGCATACAACCACGTTTCTTAGGATCGTGGTTAATCGAGCACGATGCAAGTAGGCCAGAGATAGATATATCTAGTAACGACTACCGATATACAAATGTTGCCCCGTAAACACAGGTTGTACTAGATACAAAATTCTAAGTCTAGGCTTGTTTTCCGGACGGTTTTAATACACGTGTGATATCTTTAGCTAAACAAATTAAAAACAGCACACACAAATTTTAACAGCAAGGCTGAAGCAAAGATTGTCTAGCAAACAAATGCATCTACTAGCAGAAAAATTCTAAGCTGATTATTTCACACCGATCACTGACATGAGAAATCGGAGATTTTCATTAACCTCTGCAACATCTGATGACTCCTCAAATGATGTGGAGGGCTCACTCCCGTGAAAAAGTACAAAGCCTTCACTTCTTCATAGACAGAAGTAGACCGGAGCTCTCTGTAGCCAACTATTGCTTTGACAGCATCGATCTGTGTCCAAACCTTCTCTTCATTAAGCAACCCCTACAACATAAACAAGTTACCCAACAATGAAATCTAAACAATGCCAATTCCAAGAAATTTGTGTGGACCCTATGTTGGAACTTTATTAAGACTTAAACTTTATGATCTTACGAAGATCTTCATGTCAAACCATCAAGAAACTGAATTAACGCGGAACATACCTTAATCAATTGATTTCTGACTTGAATAATGAATCTTGAATCTGGATCTGTAAATCTTCAGTTTGGTTGCTTCAAATCTCCATCTTAATTCCTGATTGTGGGTTTTA